GGGCGCAGAGCAGAGGGGCAGGCCAGGGAAGGCCAGGCAGGGGGCGCAGAGCAGAGGGGCAGGCCAGGGAAGGCCAGGCCAGGCCGGGCAGGGGCGCAGAGCAGAGGGGCAGGCCAGGCCAGGCCGAGGAGGGGGAAGAGCAGAGGGGCAGGCCAGGGACAGGCCAGGCCAGGCCGGGCAGGGGCACAGAGCAGAGGGGCAGGCCAGGCCGAGGAGGGGGAAGAGCAGAGGGGCAGGCCGGCTCTGTTGGCCGGGCCCAGGCCAGCTGCTTACCGCAGTGGCTTGCGCTCGATGCACACCTTCTCAAAGACGTCCTTGAGGAAGGATGGGGGACTTTCCTGCACCATGTGATGGACCCGCAGCCGCGACTTCAGGTACTCCAGGAAGCGCTTCATGAAGCCCACAAAGTGCTCGGCTGTCCGGATGTTCCCAGGCACGGCCTCTGCAAGGGGTAGAGGTTCACCCTGAGTCACAGCCTGCCCCTGCCCACGCCCCACCCACAAGGGGGCATGACCAGGGTGAGCATGCCACTGCTGCAGCCCACCCCTCCCCAGGCCCCTGTCCAAGGGGGCACAGATGCCCACTGTGCTCTCGACTCCAGGGCCTGCGCCAGTGGCCAGCGATCAGGGCTCAGGCTCCATGGTTCCAAGGAGATCAGAAGTGGGGGCAGGGAGAGGGCTGAGAAACACCAGCTCATCTCATGTACAGCACCAGGGGGCCCAGGAGAACAATCTCCGAGTCAACAGCAGCCCAGACTGCGGTGGAACTGATGCCGTGGGGGGAAGGCCCTGTGTCCCTCCCCACCCGCCCCCAGTGCCATCAAGGTCAGCCAGTCCCCCTGCCCTGGGGCTGGACTGGAGCCTGCACCCCTTGGAGGGGAAAGGGCCTGCATCCATTCCCTGCCTACCCCCACCAGTGCCGGACAGTCCCTTGCCCTGGGGCTGGATTGGATCCAGCTACACCAGTATCCCATACCCCAACCAGCCAGTTCCGTTTGTTCTAGCTGCACTGGGAGGCGCTGGTCCCCAGCAATGCCACCTTCCCGCCACCAGCTAGCAGGGCCCACCTTGGAGAATCTCGTCGGGCAACACCGGATTGGCCAGGTAGATGTCCGTTTCCCGGGCAACGTTGGCCTCTCTCAGCCCCTCTACCAGCCGCCTGTATTCCTCCTTCAGCTTCTGGGCATCCGTCTCCTTAATCCTGAAAGGGGACCAGCGCCCGTGAGCCCGGGTGGGCACGGGGAGGGCAGGGAGGGGGCACAGGGAGGGCACTCACTTCTGGATGGTGGCCTGGAGCGTGGCCACGTTGGCCTGGCAGCGATCCAGCGTCCGGCGCGTGATGTTCACCCCCATGGAGTCAATGCACACGTTGTCTGCAGGAACAGGGCACCTGGTCTCCAGGGGAACCCAGCAGTCGGGTGGGCAGGGGGCCTTGGGGAGGGACTAAACCCCAGGCGGGAGCAGGGCAGAGA